GGTGAGCTGCAGTTGCTTCCTGTCTCCCAGGAGACTCTCTAAGATCAGCAGGCGGGTCTGACCCAGTGTCCTTTCAAATGACTGCTTCTGTCCAGGGTCCTGGAGTGCACAAGACTTTCTGTGCGCCCTTTGAGAGTGGGGTCTCTATTTTCTACAGCCCTCTGGCTCTCCTGAAAGTAAACCCTGCTGGCCTTTAGAGCCAAACTTCTGGAGGCTTGTCTGCCCAGGGCAGGAGCCCCAGGCCTCCTCACTCCTTAGGGAGAACCCCTTGAAACTGTAATTATCCTCCCATAGGTGAGCTGCCTACCTGGGATATTGGACTTGACTAAACCCCGACTCTGCCTCCTCACATCTTGTTGTGGTTCCTTCTTTATATCTTTAGTTGTAGAAGATCTTTTCTGCTAGCCTTCAGGTCTTTCTCATCAATAGCTGCTCTGTAAACAGTTGTAACTTTGGTGTTCCTGTGGGAGAAGGTGAGATTAGGGTATTCCTACTCTGCCATCTCAGCCACTTCCTAAATCAACTGGAATTCTCATTCATTGGAAAACGATTTCACGGTTTCTTAAAGTGTTAAATATGACCTAACAATTATACTCCTGGGTACTTATTGGAATGAAACAAAAACATACGTCCACAAAAAGCCTTATACAAGAATATTCATAGCAGTTTATACATAATGACCCCAAGCTGGAATCAGTCCAGACGTTCAAATGTAAAAACATGGATTTTAAAACTCTAAGACATTAATAAAATAAAGTAATTGACCATGGAAAGGAACAAACCACCTATACTTGTAGCAACACAGATGAAATTTAATTGTTAAAGAAGTCAGACTCAGAAAGTACACATTGTATGATTCTACTTCTAGGAAATTCTAGATTGGGAAAAACCTAATCCCTTGTGGTAAGAGCCAGATCACAGGTTGCCCTGAGGAGCTGGAAGAACTTTCTGGGGTTAAGGAAATGTTCTATATTTTGATATCTTTTCATTAAGTTGACTGAATAGTTAACTCAGATCTGACCATTTCTCTATAGGTAAATCGATAAAAATGATAAATAGGAAAACATTTAAAAATGTTTACCCACAAAACATTCTTCCCACAAAGAATTCCTAGGCTTGGATGTCTCAAAGGTGATTTCTATCAACTACCTAAGGAATGCATGTGTGTGTTAGTTGCTTAGTCATGTCTGACTCTTTGTGACCCCATGGACTGTAGCCCACCAGGCTCCTCAGTCCATGGGATTTTCCAGGCAAGAGTACTGGAGTGGGTTGCCATTCCCTTCTCCAGAGGATCTTCCCAACCCAGGGTTCAAATCCAGGTTTCCTGCATTGCAGGCAGACTCTTTACTGTCTGAGTCACCATGAATACCTAAGGAATAAAGGTCCAAATTTATGCAAACATGGAGAATTGAAAAGGGCAAATATCCCCAAATGGTTTTTATGAGACTAGCATAACGTTCATCCCTAAATTTAACAGAACAGTTCAAGAAACAAAAGTACAGGCAAATCTCATTAACAAGCAGACATGTTGAATCATAAGTTTAAAAGTAACAAACCAGGACTTGCACAGTGGTGCAGTGGTTAAGAATCTGCTTGTCAGTGCAGAGGATGCGGGTTCGATCCCTGACCCAAGAAGATTCCACATGCCACAGAGCAACTAAGCCCGTGCACCAAAACTATGGAAGCCTGTGCTCTGCAACAGGAGAAGCCACTGCAGTAAGTCTGCACAAGGCAACTGGAGATCAGCCCCTGCTTGCAGAAGCTAGAGAAAGCCCGTGTGCAGCAAGAAGGCCCGGCACAGCCAAAAATAAATAAATAAGAAATAACAAACCAAATGCACCAGTACATGAAAAAACAATGCCTTGTGACCAGGTTGAGCTTATCTCAGGATACAATTTGGTTCAACATCATTAAGTTAGTTCATTATATTAAAGGTAGTTCATTACATTAAAAAGTTAAAGTATAATTATCTCAAGAGATGAAGGAAAGTATTTGATAAAGTGTGACATCCTTTAGTAGCACAAAAGTATTAACAAAGTTGCAATTGAGGGGAACCCCCCCCCCCAACAGCTTACAAAGGGCACTAGCAAAAAACTTAGAGCAAATAGCACAGTTAGTGGTTAAACACTAAGAACATTTCCTGTGACACCAGAGCACGAGAATTCCTGCCACCCTCACTGTCTCAACACTGCGTTGAAGGACCTAGCCGGTTCAGTGGAGGAGAAAAACAGACGATGATGACTGACGTGGAAAAGGAAAAGCAGCCACTAGAGCAGATTATCTCTTGTGCCCATGGGCAGAGCCAGATGTCACCTTTGGGCGAGTGGCCCCGTCTCCACCCTGGGAGGCGCTGGAGAGCTCCCAGGCGATCCAGTGCTGCTGCTCTGGAAAACCTCACTTTGGGAACCACTGCTTTCCAGGGAAGATCAGCAGATTGTTATGGGCTGAATAGTGTCCTCTCCCCCAAATTCACACACTGAAGCCCTAACCCTCAACACCTCAGAATGTGACTGTACTGGGGGATGATTTGGGGGGTAATTAAGCTAAAATGAGGTCATTAGAGTGGGCTCTAATCCAATCTAATTGGTGTCCTTAGAAGAGAAAGGGGCAGATGACTCTGACAGAGGGTAGGGCAGAGAAAGGCCCTCTGGAGAAGCGGAGGTGAAGGTGAGCCCCAGGATACCGGCTGGTGGGGAGGGAAGCCTTGCAGTGAGAAGTGCTTGGTGTGGCCTCCTGAGGGCTCTAAGGGATGGGACAGGACTGCAGAAGGGTGGGGTCCAGGGCCAGCATAGAGTCTCAATCCTTTTAGGGGGAGTGGTGAGTGACGGCTTACTGAGTGCAGGGTTTCCTTTTGGGGTGATGACAATGTGCTGCAGCTAGACAGAGATGGTGGCTGCAGCACACTGCACAGAGAACATGTTTGGTCGATGAGTGAATGGCTGCAACAGTGCTGCTCACAAGCCCCAGCTCAGGCCACCTGGGAACCAGTCAGGAGAGCCTGGTTCTCTTGTAGCAGTGAATCCTTGAATGGAAGTTTGGGTGTGCAGAGCACCTGGATTTGACTGTGCGAAGATGTAAGGCTCTAAACTGAGGTTTATGTTCAACCACACACACACACACACACACACACACACACCCTGCATCACTGGAGAAGCCTGTCCCCAGCTGAAGGAAAGACATGCATTAAAATCAGTAGCTCCTGAGCTGAGGCTGCCAACACTTCTCACGGGAGGACACATGTCTCTGGAGGAGGGGCTCTCCATCCTCAGACTGAGGGTCATTTCATAGATTAAAGGGCAGATGGAGGAGGAGTTGTCAGCAACACTTCCAGACTGACAGAATGGTGCCACGGAAGTCTCTGGAGCATCCTGTGTGTAATGCGTGCTCAGTCGTGTCCGACTCTTTGAGACCCCCTCGACCGCAGCCCTCCAGGCTCCTCTGTCCCTGGAATTATCCCGGCAAGAATACTGGAGTGGGTTGCCACCTCCTCCTCCAGAGGATTTTTCCCATCCGTGATTGAACCCTTGTCTCCTGCAGCTCCTCAAATTGCAGGCAGATTCTTTACCCACTGAGCCAGCATCCTGAACAGACAATATTGGATCAGGTGTTGGCAGCTGCATTCTGCTCTACACACCTCACCAGGGCACTTATTCAAAGTTTATGCACATTTAACAAGCAAACTGACTCAAAGTCCAAGGTCCTAGTTCTTTCAAATACGAACTTAAACCATGCGAATTTCCATACACTACAGTGACAGAACCAACGTCGTCAGCAAGCCACACGAAGCAGGCGCAGGCTCTGCATCGCGGCTCCACAGAATGGCTGGAGCAGGGATGCCGTCATCAGCTGTGACCAGGTTTCTGGGGAAGACCAGCCAGCCAAGGGGGTGGGGAGGGGATTCAGTACTCAGCCCTCCACCTCCCAAAGTGGAGTCTGCTCATCAGGTGACCTGTCCCACAAGGTCTGCCCTGGTCTGTAGGTAGGATCCCAGACTCTTCAACAAACTTCAGAGATGGGCTGGGTCCAAGTGAGGTGGCAGGCAAGGGTGCAGCCTTCTTACCATCCAGCCTGAGGACCAAGTATAGTAGTACATGTGAAATCATTCTGAAAGCAAGAGTGTAAGGTTTTTGCAAAAAGAAGGATGTTACTCCAGTAAATGACTCTGACATGGCAGAGAATGAGCTATGTGCTAACCGAGAATCTTTGTTCAAAGTCCTCAGACCATCTCATGTCAGCTCTTGTTTATAGTCTTTAAGGAAACAAGAGTACAGTTTCTAAGAAAACAATGCTGGGTACTTTGGAAAGAGTCAGGGAAGCCTGGTTGAAGAAAACAGCTGCTGTTGAATTAAGCGTTCCTGTAAAACAAGGGAGAAAACTGTCTCATATCTGGATTGTGATGCAAGCTCTTTAAACTGTAGACAGTACATTATGGGAACGATTTGTGCAGTAAAACGGACCAGCGTCAGGAGATTGGCAAGTTCATATATGCTGGTGTGTTCACTTAAAATAAAACTTCTAAGTTATTCGAAACACTCTCGTCCCCGCCATATTAAGCGCCTTTTCCGATTAACCAGTGATTACAGGTTCGCTGACCTGGAGAGAGAACGTCTGACAGGCTTCCTTCTGGGATACAGGCGCTCCCTCGGAGAAGCTGCGCGGCAGCTTTTTGAGTGTCTATGTGGTGAAATCCACATAACAAAAATGCTGCCATTTTAGTAATTTTAAAGTGTGCCATTCGGTGGCATTAAGTACACGCACGATATTGGGTCCCCAGTACCACTGTCTAGTTCCAAGACTTCTTCATCCCCCAAAAGAAACCCCTTACCTTCGATCAGGCGCTGCCCCGGCCCCGCTTCCCGGCTGCTTTGGGTAGAGCGACACGATATAAATGGAATCATGGAACAGTTTCTCTTTTGTATCTTGCTTCTCTCAAGGCTTTCTTTCTTCTTCTTCTTCTTTTTTTTTTTTTTTTTTGTATTTTAAAAATAAATGTTAACTAGAAATTTCTCAGACATGGACGCGCCTCCGGCGCTGGGAACATCGCCCCTCCGCCTGAGTGAGAAGCGCGGGTCTCCAGGGCCTGGGAAGCGCTCGGAAGACCGCGCGGCTTCCTGCAGCCTCGGGGGCCGCCCCAGCACTCCGCGCCGCGCAAAGACCCTCGGAGCTCTGGCCAGGGGCTCCGCCCAAGGAGCCTCTCCCCCACTGGACTTCCGATCCATTCTTCGCAGAAGCGTCCTCCCGCCACCCCCACAGGGCCTGGAGGGACCCTTCCGGGTCAGTTCGGGCCAGACGCACACCCGCAGGGGTCCTCACCCCTCGGGGTCCGCTCCCAGCAGGCCTCGGCATCTAGTCTGTAAAGGGGAAGGGTCTCCTATAGCTGGAGACCTGTCCCTTCCAGCCGCACTGTGATCCGGGACCCCCACCGCACGAGTGCGCGCTCGGAAAACCCAGCCTTAGTCGCGGGCGCCGGCCCCGGAGGCACAGGTCACAAATCCCGAAACCCGGTGATTCCTGGAACTAGGGTCACCAGCCCGACCCCAGGCCGAATTCGGCTTTGAGCTTGTGAGGAACCCAGCAGGGGAGTCAGGGGTGAGGAGGGGACTCTAAAACGAAATCTATCCTTCCGGAGTCAATAAAGTCGGCGATCGAACTCCCCACCCGCAGAGAGCAGGGTTGAGGGCCGCGGGAGGACTAAGACCCCCTCCGCACCCCCAACCAGGTTTCCGGGTCTTCGCTGCCCTCCCACCCCCCACCTCTGCCATGCACATAGCTCTTGGGCACGGGTTTTTTCCTCTTCACCGCGTACTGGCCCCGGGTGGAGAGCATGGGGCCCGCAGGCCGCCTCACAAAGGGGCGCGGGGCTGGGATGCAGCGGGGCTGGGATGCAGGGAAGCTAGTCGGTTCCCCTGGCTGGTCACTCCTGGGGGTCGCCAGCGCGGAGGTCTGGGCGCGCCGCTTCAGACTGTGACCGCGCAGGACACGAGCGCCGAACCCGCGTGCACCTTGGAAGCATCTGCACTCGCCAGTCCCAGGGCGGGAGAGCGCGTTGCCGCGGGCGACTAGAAGGATCTCCGAGTCCCTCCTCGGTGCCAGAGACCGAGGGACGTCTGCCGGGCTTGCATGGGTTGGCCTCGGGAGAGAGATGAGGAAGCTGGCGCAGAAGCGGCGGGCTCCCTCGGGGGCTCTCTGTCGAGGCTTTCTCATACGAAGGTGTGCGCCATAGTCGGAGGTAGCAGCTCACTTCGACCCCAGGCTAATTTGGAAAACGCGCGTCTATGGACGAAGACATCGCCGGAAGGAGTCCGGAGAAGTCCTTGTCCCCGCGCGCGGCCCCTCCCCACGCGTGTCCTTGGATCGATAAGAATCCAGACACCAGACTGACTCCCTTTCCCCGCAGCGTCGCGTCCAGAAACTTTGCTCTACGGGGCAGCAGGTCGCCAAGGCGCAAACGCGGGACAGGAGCCTTTGGAATGCGGTGAGGAATGCGATGGAGCGGGGCGGAGGGAAGAGCTGACAGGACCCACCCGGCCCTGCCCCGCCCTGCCCCGCCCTGCCCACCGACGCGCCCCGCAGCCCGCAGTCCAGCCGCCTGGAGCGTCCAGATCGGACCCAGGAAGCAGACGCCTATCTCCGGGAAGCGAAGGCCTGGTGGGTACCTAAGTCTGCCTGGGAACCTTTGTACTTAATTCTGCTGGATGCGTCTATGTGTGTGAGGGGCTCCGGGTGTTTTTAGGAGCGAGGTATTGTATAAATACTGGAAATGCCTTGGGATCGTCCACACCCACCGGTGACGGGTGATATGCGATTACCCCAGTGTGTGACGTATGTGTGCGCGTGAGAAAGCACACATGCATGCCCACTCTGGAACCAAGGGGTAGACTGTAGTGAATGTGTCTCGTTTTCTGTTTACTCTGTAAACAGAAAAATAAAAAACAAACCAATAAAATAATTCCAGGTATTTGTATCTTGTTCTCAATCTCAAGGAGAAAGAATTTAAGATTTCACCAGCAAGTGTGATGGTTGGTATAAGTGTTATGTAGATGCACTATCAGATTAAGCACATTTCCTTCTGTTCATAGTTTCCCAAATCTTTTTCCTTTTTATCATAAATAGATGTGTAGTTTTTACAGTGATATTTTTTTTTTAATTTTTTGATGTGGACCATTTTTTAAGTTTTTATTGAATTTATTACTATGCTATTTCTGTTTTGTTTTGGTTTTTGGCCCAAATGCATGTGGGATCTTAGTTGCATGACCAGGGATTGAACCCCCACTCTCTGCACTGGAAGGTGAAATCTTAACCACTGGACCTCCAGGTAAGTCCCTACAGTGATATTTTTGGATTGAAATGCTATGAGTTATTTGTTTGTTCTGTTGATATGGTTAATTGCTTAAACTGACTTTTGAACACTGAATCAATTTGCTTTTCGGGAATAAATCCATTTGATCGCAATGTACTACCTTTATTGTTCTATGTTGTTAAATTTAATTTTTTAATATTTTGCTTAGGAATTACAGACTTGACCTTCAATTTTTATTTCCCTTTCCATTAATGTCTTTGTAAAATTTTATATCAAGGTTATACCAGTGTTATATGCTGAGTTGGGATTGTTCCCATTTTTCATTTTCTCTGGAAGAATTAACGTTTTTTATTTCTGCAATCCAGCCTGGATATCTTGGTGCAAAGCTGACCCAGGTGGGAGGAAGGCAGAACCTACCTGTAACAGAACTGAGGAGTAGAGAGAGGGTCATCTGAAGGAAACAAAGTCAGAATGTGTAGGACTTTTACTACCTGGCTCCTTTCCACACAAAAAGGACACAGTGTCCAGTCTGGAGGCTTGGGGAGACTTCTTGACTCTGTGCCCATGCATGGCTGACTTCCCTCCTACACCAACCAGCACCAAGCATCAGAACTGTGTGAACTCCATTCTCCGCCTATTCTGGCTCCTTCTTTGTTGTAATTGTGGGACCCAAATAATGAAGGGACCCAAATCTCGATTCCTGCTGCTTCCCCCTCCAAGTGCTCACTATTTCTGGGGCTGGAAGTTGCACCAAGCGTGGCTGATCATTTTTAGAAAATAAAGAAGAGAATACTTGCCAAGGCATTTTGGGGCCCAGCACAACCCCGATACTCAACTAGACAAGGACATAGCAAGAAAATAAAATTGCAGGTAGTATCTCTCATGAACATGGAACAAAAATCTCAACAAAACATTAGCAAATTCATACATGAAAAGAATGACATATAACCACTTTCTTGTTGTGCGACCTTTGTAGCTTACTTAACTGCTCTGAACACTGTGTTAAGTCACTCAGTCCCGGCCAACTCCTTGCAACCCCATGGACTATATAGCCCTCCAGACTTCTCTGTCCTTGGGATTTTCTAGCAAGAATACTGGAATGGGTTGTCATTTCCTTCTCCAGGGGATCCTCCTGACCCAGGGGTCAAACCCACATCTGCTCTGTCTCCTGCATTGGTAGGTGGATTCTTTACCACTGAGCAACCTGGATAGTCCATTTACCAAAAAAAACCTCCCTGAGGACAGTGCTTGGATACCTGTTACAGTCTTTACTTTCCTCAGTAGCAGGTACAGGGTTTGGGCCTGTAGCAGAACTCTACATCCAACTGGGAATGGCCACTGGATGAAAGTAGGCATGTCACCTAAGGAGAGATAAGAAAGCCTCCTTAAGTGAAAAATGCAAAGAAATAGAGGAAAACAATAGTAGAATAGGAAACACTAGAGATATCGTGAAGAGAATTAGAGATACTAAGGGAACATTTCATGCAAAGATGGTTACAATAAAGGACAGGAATTATATGGACTTAATAGAAACAGAAGCTAGTAAGAACAGGTGGTAAGAATACACAGAAGGACCATACAAAAAATGTTCTTAATGACCCAGATAAACACAATGGTGTGATCACTCACCTAGAGCCAGACAGCCTGGAGTGTGAAGTCAAGTGGGTCTTAGGAAGCATTACTGCAAACAAACCTAGTGGAGGTGATGTAATTCCAGCTGAGCTATTTCAAATCCTAAAAGAGGATGCTATGAAAGTGCTGCACTCAATATGCCAGCAAATTTGGAAAACTCAGCAATGGCCGCAGGACTGGAAAAGTTCCCAAAGAAAGGGTTAGTTGATCTCTGGTTCCTCTGCCTTTTCTAAATCCAGCTTGAACATCTGTACAGTTGCACTCATTTCACATGCTAGCAAAGTAATGTCGAAATCCTCCAAGTTCGGCTTCAACAGAACATGTACTGAGAACTTGCATATACACAAGCTGGATTTAGAAAAGGCAGAGGAACCAGGGATCAAATTGCCAACATCTGTTGGATCATAGAAAAGCAAGAGAGTTCCATAAAAACATCTACTTATGCTTCATTAACTATCCCAAAGCTGCTGACTATGTTGATCACAACAAACTGTGGAAAATTCTTCAAAGTGATGGGGATACCAGACCACCTTACCTGCCTCCTGAGAAACCTGTATGCAGGTCAAGATGCAACAGTTAGAACCGGGCATGGAACAATGGACTGCTTCCAAATTGGGAAAGGAGTGTCAAGGCTGTATATTGTCACCCTGCTTATGTAACTTATATGCAGAGTACATCATGCTAAATGCCAGGTTTAATGAAGCACAAGCTGGAATAAAGATTGGAGGGAGAAATATCAATAACCTCAGTTATGCAGATGACATCACCCTTATGACAGAAAGTGAAGAGGAACTAAAGAGCCTCTTGATGAAAGTGAAAGAGGAGAGCGAAAAAGCTGGCTTAAAACTCAACATTCAAAAAACTAAGATGATGGCATCCAATCCCATCACTTCAGGGCAAATAGATGAGGAAACAATGGAAACTGTGACAGACTTTATTTTCTTGGGCTCCAAAATCACTGTGGTTGGTGATCGCAGTCATGAAATTCAAAGACGCTTGCTCCTTGGAAGAAAATCTATGACAAACCTAGACAATGTATTAAAAAGAGACATCACTTTGCCAGCAAAGGTCTTTATAGTCAAAGGTATGGTTTTTCCAGTAGTCATGGATGGATGTGCGAGTTGGATCATAAAGAAGGCTGAGTGCCAAAGACCTGATGCTTTCAAACGGTGGTGTTAGAGAAGACTCTTAAAAGTCTGTTCAACAGCAAGGAGATCAAACTGGTTAATCCTAAAGGAATCAACCCTGAATATTCTTTGGAAGGCCTGAAGCTGAAGCTGAAGATCCAGTACTTTGGCCACGTGATATGAAGAGCTGACTCACTGGAAAAGACCCTGAAGCTGAGAAAGATTGAAGGCAGGAGAAGGGGATGACAGAGGATGAGATGGTTGGATGGCATCACCGGCTCAATGGACATGAGTTTGAGCAAACTCAGGGAGATGGTGAAGGACAAGGAAGCCTGGCGTGCTGCAGTCCA